TTTTTCTCCGATTTTGGAGTTTCCACGTTATATTCTTGTGTTGTGATTGTGTTCCTCTTTTTTCTCTATGTTATGCTTATTTTTTCCTAACAAATGATATCAGAGCTTTTGGTTAGATCCAGGGATAAGTGTTCTTAGTATGCTTATTCTTGTATTTGCAGTTTTGTCTGATCTTCCACATCATAAAAGAAGGCTAGTATTGAGAAAGAGTTGTTGAGCTGCAGTCACAAAGGGTAGTGCTCTGATGCCACTGTTAGGGGAGATATTCACTAGGGAGTATTGAATATTGTGAGACTTTCTTTTTAGAGCAACACCTTTGTGAGAGACACACCACATACTCACCCAAAACCTTAAGGTGATAGGTGTGTGGGTTCTCCCACTTATAAATGCTCAAGTCTCCATATTCCTATATAATGTGGGACTATTACATATACTACTCATACTTATTATACTTAACACTTCCCCTTAAGTGTGAGTCTATCCACAATGCTTCCATAATGCTCCCCCTTAAGAGAAAGCTCTTATTGCTTCCACATACACTTGTACTGTCATTCCTTAAGAGAAAGCTCTTCTTGCTTCCACATACACTTGTACCTTCGTTCCTAAAGAGAAAGCTCTTCTTGCTTCTACATACACTTGTACCGTCGTTGACACTCTTCAACAGGACACTCTATCCACAGCTTGTGGGGATACTTTCAATACAAGTGAGTCGACCCTTTCCTTGAATCAGACTCTGATACCACAGTTAGGGGAGATTTTCACTAGGGAGCATTGAACATTGTGAGACTTACTTTTTAGAGCAACACCTTTGTGAGAGACACACCACATACTCACCTAAAATCTTAAGGTAATAGGTGTGTGGGCTCTCCCACTTATAAATGCTCAAGTATCCATATTCCTATCCAAAGTGAGCCTATTACACATACTACTCACACTTGTTATACTTAACATAATTAAATCATGTCAAACACAATAATAAGAACAAATATTTTTTTTCTTTGTTTATATGCTATATTTATTGTTTGATTATTAAGAGAAAATCAATATAATAAAGGTAACAAATGGTTTGCAAAATTAATTAGAAGTAACAATTTCTTAAACAAATGTCATAGAGTGCTAATACATTCTATGTAAAATAGTGGTGTCATGCTCGTTATCTATGCATATTTTACGTGTGAACAATATAAATCTATCATTTGTTATTATGTCATATTTTGGGGTCATTTAAGTCAAGTGGGTTGAGAATAAAAATGACATTCAAATTGATGATGATGGCTTCTTAAGGATGAAACTTAATAGATTTGGTTATAAGATAAACTTTTTACATTAGAATCAAATTCTCACCAAGTATTTATGTCACACATCCGCCTAAGGGTAAGTGGTATAACGAGATTGTAACTAACAAAATTAATATCATTACAAGCAAGAACGTAAAAATATTAATATCAAATGTGATTCTTTTATTGAGACATTACTTGATATTGGTCCAACCATATGTGATATTATATATGAGAAAATTTTACAGTAAATGGATTTGGATCAATCTAGTGTGATTCTCAGCGGCTAGACATGTTGCAGCTGCGACTGCTTGTGCAACCTGACCACACTGTCCCGGACAGTTTCGTGTGGTGGTGGCATGCAAATGGATTTTTTGTTAGTAATGCTTATGATTCTATTGGTTTGGGTGATCCGTGTAGGTCGGATTTGAATGTTGACCATGTGTCGTTTTTGTCCCGTTTGTGAAAGTTTAAGGTGCTACGTAGAATTCTTATTTTCGGTTGAAGATTGCTTTGGAATAGGCTTCCTACGAAGAGGTAATTATCGAATCGTGGTATTTTATCGGGGTTCATTTCTTGGTTTGTTCTTTGTATTTCGGGTTTGAGGAGGATTTGGACCATCTATTTTTTGGTTGTAAAATTTCAAAGTTGTGGTGGAGAAAGGTTTGCAATTGGCTTCGGGTGGAAGACGCTTCTTTCGATTATTCTATTTTGGAGCGCATTATTTTGTTGGATATCGCTTGTAAGTCGGCCTTTATCTTGGATTTGGGGTGGTTTTTTGGTTTGGTTATTTGTTTGCTGACTTGAAAATATAAGAACGATATCCTTTTTAAGGGTCATGTCTTGTCTAATTTTGATGGTGTGAATTTGATTAAGTTGCTTTTTATTGTGTTTTTTAGAGTTGAAACTAATGTGTCTTAGGAGGATTGAAGTATCAATCCGAAAAGTTTTTTAGGTGGGCTCGGGTGGCTGTTTGGTCGGTTTAGTGGGGGGTTTGTCCCACTTGTTTTTTTTCTTTGTATCCTAGGGTTCAACACTCCTAGTACTTTTTTAATATAATCTCTTTTGCTTATAAAAAAATCCATTATTTTGTGTAAATAAAAAAAAGTAATTCTATAAGAAGGAAGAGTAAAGTATATACTAAATTTTGAATGATTTATTAACATTTTTTATTAGAGTAATGTTCTCACTCTTATTGGTTCTTGTATTTTTTTTCATTACGATTGATTCACATTCATATTGACTATCAATGTTATTATCATTTATTTTTGTAAGTGAACAAATTTTTTCAATCATAATAATTATTTTTCTCATATCAGGGATAAAAGTTCACCACATGATGTGACTTAAATGAAATACACTAAAAAGTTAAAAAGTAGTAAACTTAAGATCGAGAAAACTATGTGCTAAACAATAGTTCACCACATGACATGTTATACTTAAAACCTTCTAGTTTTAGCCAAATACGATTCATGTTCATTAGTCGTGTAAGAGACTAACAACCTTTTTGGTTCAAATGAAGAGGAAGGGAGGAGAGATTTTTTAATGAAGGAAATGAAAGAGGAAGAGAGGTGAGAGAATTTTTTTTAATATATATATGTTTAGTTCAAAAGAGGGAAGGGGAGGGGAAGAAAGATATTTTAATTAAAAATATGTTTGGTTCATAAAGAAGAGGAGAGAGATTTTATTAATAATTTATATTTTTATCCTTATAATCTTATATAAGTCCTATGATATTCAAAAAGTGAAAAATTTATAAGTATTTTTTTTGTAATAACATATACATAAATAGTTAAGCACAATTATTTTTGAGTGATTAAAAAATTTAAAACTTACTACATAATTCTCCGACGCAAATTAAATTATATGTTGATAATAATTTTTTAATCGTAATGAACTATCTAATAAAAGAAATACATAAAATAACATATATATATATATATATATATATATATATATATATATATATATATATATATATATATATATATATATATATATATATATATATATATATATATATATATATATATATATATATATATATATATATATATATAATGCAATGTAATAGACAAAAATATAAAAATGGATGGTTTAAAATTAGATATAAAAAAATATATAATATGATAACAAAATTAGAAGAAAAATATTCAAACCTTAATAAACATAAAAATAAAAAGTTATAAAAAAAATAAAGTAATTATAATTTATATTAAATAATGAAAATACTAAAAATAATTTGAAGGTGGAGAAAATTATAATAATATGATGAAAGCAAAAATCACACAAAAAAGAACCAGTAAACGAAAGAAAATGAACAATATTGAAATAATAAAATAAATTTGAAATATTTTAATAAATATAATAATTTTTTAAATATCAAACTTCAAATTCTCTCCCCCTCCCTTCCAAATCCCTCCGACTTAGAAGGGTGCAAAAAGTGTATTTTAGAGGGAATTTGCTCCCCTCCTCCCTCCTTCCCTCATAAATTTTGAACTAAACACATTTAATTAGTAATATTTCCTCCCCTCCTCTCCTCTTCCCTTTCTTTACCCCGAATCAAACACACTATAAGGATCCGTTTGGTTGGGGATTTTGGAAGGGAGAGAAGAAAATATTTTAAATTAAATATGTTTGGTTCAATTTTTTATGAGAGGAGAAAATATTTTAAATTATGTATGTTTGGTTCAGTTTTTTATAAGGGAAAGTGAAGGGAGGAGAAGTAATATGAATTTATCATGGGATAGTTTTCTCTTCATCCTGAATTGAAAGTTTTTGGAGGGGAGGGAGGAAAATGAGTTATAATAATTTTTGTTATATTGACATAACTACACCCATTTTTATTATAATCCTAATTTGTTTTTAATAAATATTATATGTTAATTTTTTCACCTTATTATAATTTCTCTATATTTTTTAACGACAACTCTACTATTTTTATTATTATGATTTAACTTTCTTTTGTTTTATTTTATTCACTTTTATTTATTATTTTGTTTGTAATAACTTAATTTGTTTATAAATTGTTGTGTTGTATTATATATTCATATATAATTGTAATATATGAGTTACATATTATCTAAAATTTAATTTCATAAATATTTTATAGGATTAGATAAACCATTAAGATGATAAAATGGTTCATCTGAAGATTGATCATATAATGATTCTATGACATTTATCTATATTTTATTTACACTTCAATATATTTTAAAGTATTTGAAATATTAAGCATTTTGTGTTTGATTATCTATTTTGTTTATGAATTAACGGCGTGAATATCATTTTGTTTTATATTATTTAGCAAGAGTGTTTTAATATTTTAAGGGTAAAACGATAAAATATTTTTAAAACTCATATCCTCTCTTTTTAAACCAAACATATTTTTCACTAAAACTTCTCTCTCCCCTTCCCTCCTCCTATTTTGAACCAAACATACATATTATTGAAAATTTTCCCCTTCCATTCCATTTATTAAAATCTCTCCCCTCCACTCTCCACTCTATTCAACCAAATATACATTTAATTAAAATACATTCTTTTACCTCCCCTTCCCTTCTCTCCTCTTTATTAAAAAAAATTTCCTCCCCTCTCCTCTATTGAATCAAATGAAACCATAATGTAGTATGAGCATTCATATTTTATTAAGAATCATGTTTATTTCTTAGTTTCATACATATACATAAAAAAAACAACCGAACATGTTTAAGGATTATAACACTAAATTTGATGTCCACAATAATCAGAGCCCCGGCGTATACCCTCAGGAATGAAATAATTGTAATTGAATCTGATAGGTAGGTCTTTATGGTCATATACGATTATAGTCTCTGGCATCCAACCATCCAATCCAACCCTAGCAACATATAATTTGCAAATTTTGCCAATACAATGTCCCAACACCTCATATATAAGTGTCTCGCACTGCTGGAATAACTCAGTCTCAGGATCTACTTTCAACACAGTAATCTGCAGAAAATTCAAACCGATAAATTCCATTATTTGATTAAAAAAAAGTAAAATAAAGCTACTATTTTTCATATAAGTTATAAACAATTTTTTTAAGCTATCATTAAGTCCATAATGGACTAATTATTCAACCAATTCAAAATTGTGGACGAGAATATTAAATGACATTTTTTTACATAAAATTTAAGTTTAAAAAAATTATATCTTGAAAATAAATAAAAGAACCTCTTTGCCATCCGCATCTCCAAATAAAATACCAATTGTATCTCTAGAATATTTTGGAGAATTACAGCTTGTCTTTATAGTGATTTTGTAAGAGCACATTCCCACCAGTTTAGTCTCATTAATCTGAAACATACAAATACAATATATATTTATTTAAAATACAATAAAATAGATACACATCCATATACTAGAAAGAAAAAAAATTCTTAGTTGAAAGCAAATAAGAAAAGCTACTAAATATACTATTTTGAATAATAAATAATTTCATCGAGAATATAAATTTATTTACTTGTTGTTGGGTAAGGTTAAGTGTGGAATATTGATTAATTTGAGATTGAAGAAGAGTGAGCAATGTTGATGTTGCATGTGAATAAGCAACGATAATGGAGAATGCGAGGATTAAAGTAAGAGCTTTCATGGAATCATTCACTATAAATTGTTTAGACATTTTTAGTTTATGTAAATTATAACCTTATAAAGGACAAATACAATATTTAACCACACCATGAAATTTCATGCTAACTTATTATAATTTAGTAAAATTTTGAGATATCATATTAAATTATAATAAGAGTTATATCTTTGGAAATCTTAATGGCTTCATTCCTATAAAAAAATTATTGGCTTCATGGAGGAATCAAAGGCTGTGTGAGCAATGTAATTCACTAATTCATTTGCTTTATTGAAAGATCACTAATTAATTTTTAGTTTTGTCCATTGTGGATGAAATAACACATACAAATTATATAATCATAAACTCAAACAAACAGAATGAGGAATCTCATATTTACAATTAGATAATAATAAACTTGAGAACATGTATTAGGCATAGAAGAAGGGTAAAATCATAGAGACAGGGTCACATATTCAACATATTACATAATATGATTCACAATTAAATAATACTAAAACAATATTTTATTTTAAAAATATTGTAAATGTTATCACAAATGTTGAACTTTAAAAGTTATTAGTAAGAGATTCATGCATTTGCAAGGGATAAAAGATATATAAATTAAAAAGAACAAAATATTTTAAATTATTACTGTCATATAAATTTAATTTAAAAGGTAGTGGTGTTTTATCAGCAAAATCATGTTAATTGAAATAAATAAAGTAGAGATATTAAATAAAAATATGGTATATGGATATATAATAAATATATAATATAGGTGATTAATTTTATTTGATTTGAGAATTGGTAATCTAGTATTTTGCCCTTGTCATTCCCACCCCTTTCTAATTATAAGCACATTTAATCCTTTTTTACAAATTTTAAATAAAAAGATCAATAAATTTAATATATTTATTTTTTCAAAAATATCATATATATATATATATATATATATATATATATATATATATATATATATATATATATATATATATATATATATATATATATATATATATATATATATATATATATATATATATATATATATATATATATATATATATATATATATATATATATATATATATATATATATATATATATATATATATATATATATATATATATATATATATATATATATATATATATATATATATATATATAATTAAAATTTTGTATATTATCAAGTGTAATTTCAATTTACATATTCCTAACATCAAATTAAAATATATCATTGATATTAAATTGTATTTTAGCCATAAACTAAACCCCGTTTTATTTTGAATGTATTTAATAAAATGTCAGTGTATCTTAATTATACTAAATTGAATCCTTAATAATTAATATATATAATTGGATCTATTCATACATTCACCATATGAAATATAAGAAATCATGCAATTTCAGTATAAAGTCACAAACATATATTTAGGAAAAAATGAACAACCAATATATAGCCTTTTCCTTACTCTTTTTTGGGTCCATTTTCAATCAAATAATTAAAATAATTAAAAGCATAAATCAATAAAAAAAATGTATTAAAATTATTGCTGCAAAATAAAATGTGAAAGATAATAATTAAAAATGAGAATAATATATATATATATATATATATATATATATATATATATATATATATATATATATATATATATATATATATATATATATATATATATATATATATATATATATATATATATATATATATATATATATATATATATATATATATATATATATATATATATATAATCAACTAAATACAACTTCATTAGATAATAAAAAATACACGTGATAATATACGATAGTTGAACAATGTAAAAATAGGATTAATGGTTCATGATGAAATTTCACTATATTATCCTATTTTTACACAAATCTTTGATAAGGATTCACAATCGGAGATGAAATAAATTTGCAAAATATGCAATGGATAAATTAAAATGACATATCTTAGATCTGCAAGTTAAGTTGATCAATGAAAAAATATGGGAAGATAAAGTAACAGTGAAGAATGACAAATTAGGGGAATGAGAAAGGAAACACAAAGACTTTAAATCTTAGAGTTATAGAAGGGAATGGTTTAATGGTTAATAAATTCAATGGACAATTGCTTAAGTTCCAAGCATTTTGCAAAGAAAATGAGGAATCATGAAATGGAAAATTTCGTATTGGAAAAAGAAAGCAATGACTAAGTCTATTACATCATATTACATTAAATAAAAATTAAATATAAATAATTAAAAAAAAAGTAATAATGATGATTGAAGTAATTAAAAGATGAAAATTATAATTAGAGATACGAATAAACTTGTTTAATTAGTTTTAATTAGGGTTAAAGCGTAATTCAGATAGTAGTTTATTTTCTTATATTTATAGTATATTTAGTGGCGTGGAGTATTTACATATGTTTTTATTTCTAATTGACCAAGCAACAAATTTCTTCAAATAAGGGCCGAACAACAAATAGTTAAAAATAGAGGCAATAAATATAAAGAGTGCCCTTAAAGGGGCACTGTTGTCCAAAATAATTACAAAAAGCTCCAAAAGGAAGGAGGGGGAGGAATCACACTTCAACTACCGGCTCCCCATCCACAACCACACTAAAAGTATTCATGGGGCTCAAATCCAGGTGGAGATAAAGGAGGGAAACCCGCCTTCGTACTTCCCCAAAGTGATGAACGGAGGCTAGCATGACGTCATTTGTAAGTTGCGAGACCCGCTCTTTTGTGCTTTCAAGAGTACTCCGAGCTTCCTCAAGAAAATTCTTCAAGCCCTCCACTTCTTCACACTGAACAAGAGTTTGAGTGGTCACTCCTTCGGCAAGCGCTTTCAAATCATCCCTCCCCACCCACATCTACCTTAATGTCATCCCTCCTTCGCGAGTGTGTTTGTTCAAGTTGATGGCCCTTGATTGTAGCCTCACTGGGTGTCAGAGCATTTCTCTTTTAATGCTCTCCCCACGAGAAAACATCTCATAAGCTAGGCCTCCAGCAAAGTAGATAGTTGAGCGGGGGACATGGCAGAAAGTAGTCGATAATATCCCGGGAAGTTCTTAGGGAAGGAGAAAAGGCGATAGACAAAATCCACTACATTAAAAGCTTGGTCATGCCACAATTTCATTGTAAACATCTTTGTTCAAATTGTTGTTTGTAATTCTTCACGCTGAACAAGGGTTTGAGTGGTCACTCCTTCGGCAAGCGCTTTCAAATCATCCCTCCCCGCCCACATCTACCTTAAGGTCATCCCTCATTCGCGAGTGTGTTTGTTCAGGTTGATGGCCCTTGATTGTAGCCTCACAGGGTGTCAAATCATTTCTCTTTTAATGCTCTCCCCACGAGAAAACATCTCATAAGCTAGGCCTCCAGCAAAGTAGATAGTTGAGCGGGGGACATGGCAGAAAGTAGTCGATAATATCCCGGGAAGTTCTTAGGGAAGGAGAAAAAGCGATAGACAAAATCCACTGCATTAAAAGCTTGGTCATTCCAGAATTTCATTGTAAACGTCTTTGTTCAAATTGTTGTTTGTAACTCCTTAAGGGACCAGTTAGGTTAGAATCCTTAAGAAGAGAGGGTTAGTCTTTGTTGTTATTCACCAGCGGTTGCTTGTGCAGATTGTATTTCCTTAAGAGACCAGTTGGGTCAGAATCCTTAAGAAGAGACATTTTTTTATGTTGTTAGTCACCAGCGGTTGCTAGTGTAGTGTAATCAGTTGATTATAGTGGATTAAGTCCTTGTGTATAAGGCGAAATCACCTTGGCGGGTGGTCTTGATTAGCTTGATAGTTTTCAAGTCAACCAAGATATATCGTGTATCTTTCTTTCTTGATTAGTCTATTTGTGATCTCTGTTTGAGTTTCACAAAAAGCTTTCATTTTTGAAAACTCAATTCAAACCCCCATTTCTTGTGATTTCTCACACCTTTACAAGACTCATACCACATACATGTCATTATTGTACCCCTAACTCTTGCCCTTTCTTGGGATTTTTACCCTTGTAAAAAATCTCAGGTAAGAAATTGCCCCTTAAAAGGCCTCTTTAGACGAACCTAGGAGATAAAGGCATTTTTAATATTTTTAGAAACTACTCACATAGTGAGCTGACGTCTTGATCATCATGACGTTTCTTTCAACCGTCACCTTGAAAATATGCGCTTCCTGTAACACCCCGCTCCCAAAAATAAAATAAATGCAGTTTAAAAATAAACAATTATCAGAGTTTTGCACCACACACGGGATGTCACAGAAGAAACCAAACAAAACATTTTCATTAAATGATATCAACAATAATAAACAGCGGAAAATTCGTCATCATATATATGTATACCCATAAACATCATATACATGCCATATACATCATCCTCGGCCAACTGCCCAAAATACACCATACATATATTCACTAAAAGAATTCGTCAAAACATGATATGCCACAGGGGCACACAAAATCATCAGATAAACAAACAACTCCCCAAAGCCCCGGTGTTACGTATCAGAGCATCCCTACGACACGACTCGCCACAATCCAAGCTAGCTACGCACCTGGATTATTTGTACTTCCCAAGAAGCACATACCACAACAACAGGAAAGGGGTGAGAAATCACGATCAAAATATAACGGTAATAGCGTACATGAATGAAAGGCAGTAAACATAAAAACATCATTTCACATACGTCAACCCGGACCTACTGTCCTACACCAATACAGCATATAAGATAATGCAAACACATGCAACTCAACACATGATATGCGGTACCGACTCACAGGTTCGTCAACCAAACTCAGGATAGATTGCATGCACTCCATCCGAGCAATGATCTATCCCTACCACGCTCCCTTTCGGAGCCCCGACAAATCAAACTCAGGATATATCACATACACTCCATCTGAGCAATGACCTACCCCTACCAGACTCCCTTCCGGAGCACCGAGAAATTAAACTCAGAATAGATCACATACACTCCACCGAGTAATGGTCTATTCCTACCACACTCCATCCGAGCACTAATTCATGCATCAT